ATAACCTGATGGAACTGTGATATCATTGATTTGGGAGTTCCCTCCAGCAATATATGTTATAACCCAGTCATTAATGTTCATCTTATGTGACTCTTATCCATGTTCTTTCATAAGTTTACCACAGGGAGTGGTAAAGCCTTTATCACTTTATTCTGTTTTGCATGGGTACCAGTGAAGCAATCAATTAATAAATCAGTAATTAGTAAGTGCCTACTATGTGCTAAGCACTGTTCTAAGCACTAGGAATGCAAAGAAAAAAAAAGAAGTGGAGGGGCAAAAGATAGTTCCTGCCCTCTAGGAGCTTACAATACAGTGAGGGAGACAACATGCAAACAAATACAAAGCAAGCCCTACATAGGATAAATAGGAAATAATTAGTGGAGGGAAGGCATTAAAATTAAGAGGTATCAGAGAAGGCTTCCAGTAAAAGATAAGATTTTAGTTGGGACTTAAAGGAAGCAAGGAGGTCTATAGGCAGAGCAGAGAAGGGACAGTATTCTGGGCATGAGGGATAGCCAGAGACAATGACTGGAGCAGAGAGACAGGATGTCTTGTCTGTGGAACAGCCTGGAGACCAGGATCCCTGGATCAAAAATTATGTGCTGATGAGTAAGATGTAAGAAGACTGAGAAGGTGGGAGGAGGCTAGGTTATGAAAGGGCTTTGAATGCTAAACAGAGGATTTTGTATTTGCTCCTGCAGGCAATGGGGAGACACTGGAGGTTATTGAGTAGGAGAAGTGACATGATCAGACCTGCTCTTTAGGAAAGTCATTGGGGTGGGAAGAGTCTTGAGGCAGGCAGACCCATCCACAGGCTATTGCAGTAGTCCAGATGTGACTTGATGAGAGCCTGCACCGAAGTGGTGGCAGTGTCAGAGAGAAGGGGTGTTCTTGAGAGATGTTGCAAAGGTGACATCAACAGGGTAACAACTTGGATATAGGGGATGAGAGATAGTGAGGAATCTAGGATGACTCCTGGTTGAGAGACTGGGGGATGGTGTTGCCCTCTGTTGTTGTTTGTCATTCATTCTCCATGAGGACCATGACATCAGGGAGGTGAAGCCATGACATGCAAGTGAATTGGATTTAAGTGACAGAGGGCTATGCAAAGTCACCAGCCTCACTTTCTTCTCAGGAGCCCTTTGGGTCCAGTGGCAAGATATAGATCAGGACAACAGGAGATGGCCCTTGATGCAGTGGGAGACCTTGGTCTTTTTTATTTTATTTTTTTTTAAGGCAATTGGGGTTAAGTGATTTGCCCAAGGTCACACAGCTAGTAAAAATCAAGTGTTTGGTCTGAGGCCGAATTTGAACTCAGTTCCTCATGACTTCAGGGCCGCATGACTTCATGGCCGGTGCTCTATCTACTTTGTCACCTAGCTGCCCTTGAGACCTTGATCTTTTTAAGCTTTTTAAAGGAAAGATAGAAGTTCTGTTTTGAATGTGGGGAGTTTAAAATTTCTCTGGACATCCACTGAAAGGGAGTTGGAGATGTGAGATTGAAAGTCAGGAGAGAGATTGAGGCTGGAAAGGCAGATTTTAGAATCTGCATAGAAATGGTAATTAGATACATGGGAGTTGATGAAATTACCAAGTGAAATAGTGTTGTAGAGGGAGAAAGGAAGAGGGCCCAGAGAGAACCCTGAGGGACATCTGTGGTTAAGGGGTGTGCTCTGGAGGATCCCAACAAAGGAGAAAGAGGAGTGGTCAGAGAGGTAGGAGGAAAACCAGGAGAGAGTGGTGTCCCAGAGAGAAGAAAGTATCAAAGAGGAGAGAGAGATGAACAATGTCAAAGGCTGCAGAGTAGTCAAGGAAAATGAGGATTGAGAAAAGACCATTGGATTTAGCAACTAAGAGATCATTAGTAACTTTGGAGAGGGCACTCAGAGTTTCCACCATTCTGCTTCTTATTGTAATTATATATGTTATCTCTCCTTTTAGTTTGCCAATTCTTTGGAGGTTGAGGTTGTATTTTTTTTCTTTAAATCTTCATATTCTTTGCAACACCTTTAAAAAGTGCCTTCCAGACAGTTGCTCAGTAAATATTTGAATGAATTGGATGCTTATCCATATGGTGTATTTTTGTTCCAGGAATATGAGATACCTTCTCAAGTAGTATATCTGAAGGCAGGCTCATTTAAACGTGCTAAGTTTGGCAAGATATAATTAGACAGGTAATTAATGCGACAAAAGTCATACAAATACAAAATTAATGTGACATTGAGGTAAATAGTTCAACCTTTCTGAGCCTCAGCCTCTTGATCTATAAAATGAAAAGGTTAGATGATGTGAGCTCTTTCCATCTTTTAGATTCTATAATTCTAAATTATTTGGTTTTTGGATTATTTATGCTACTCTTTGCTTCTCCTGTCACATTGTTTGAAAATGTTCTCTAGAAAAAAATATTTTCCAGTTTATAATTAAAACCTTCCTTTAAACTGTCCTTCCCACTTAGGTAAACTTAACAGCTCCTATGAATCCAGCCAATGCCTCAGGGTTGTGTTATGAGGAGTATTGCTTACAAACTGGCTATGTGGTAGCACTTTATGGTGGATGATACTGTTTAATTTTAGCAGGGTTCAGAAAATACCTAGAAGAAGCTAGATCCAAACATCTTAAGTAGAAACAATTTTTTTTTTAAGCTACATATATGTTTAGAGTGTACTATAATTTTAAAGACCTTCTTGAACTAGATTTATCATTTCTTCCCCTGAAACAGTCAGTTATTGTTTCTAATAGCAGCTAAAGCTTAGGTGTACTAATGGTGTTACATATAGGTAAGATAAGAGGTCGTTATCACTTTTTGTCTTCTCTGTCTGGTATGCAACGTCACATATGTTTTCTTTACTGCATTGAAGTTTCCATTAGAGTCTACAACTAAGAGTTGATTTCAGACCCAAGGTGGGAAATGAATTATGCTTATCTTCCATAGAAAAGAGATATGATTGTCATAATAACTCACAATATATATCAATCAGATTCATTCACAACTTCTCACTTTTAATTTGAAAAAAAAAGAATATTAGAAATTGTAATTTAAAATATAATTCAACACAGTACACATTTATTAAACACTCACTATGTGACAGGTACTGTATTAAGTGCTGGGAGTAACAAACCAAAAGAAACGTAATTCCTACCCTCAAGGAGTTTACAGTATAATAAGGAAAGACAGTACTCAAAAGGAGACTGAAAAGGGGGCGGCCTGCAGCCTGTCTGTGTATATCTGGGGGAGGAAGGCTGTGCTGTTCTGTGCATTCCAAACCTAAGAGAGCTGCTAATAGAAAGTGGAGAATTACCTAGAAGGTTCAGATCCCAGCCTTCTGTAAAGGAAAGCTTTGGGAGGAGTTTAGTACTCTACCCTCCAGCCCTCCTATCAGAGAGGAGAAGAATCTGAGAGAGTTGGGAAGTTGTTTAAAAAGGATTCCAAGTGGTATTAAACATGTCAGGACATAAGGATACTTCATTTATCTTAGCTTGATTAGTAATTGCTAAAAAATATTTTGGCGGTCTCTGTTAAATAATTTGCTGGTACTGAATTAGCCTCAAATGAATGGGTTACCATAGAATGGATCATTTACCAATACTAGAACTTCAGTGAGTCAATTAATGAGGCAAATGATGATAGGAGACCTAGTTTCTGTAGCTCATGTGTTGACAATTTGTCAGCTGAAGTGGATATATGATTAAGTAAATAGTGGCTAAATTTTCAAATGCTCAAATAGCAACAACTTTAGCTGAGAATCTCATTTATTCTTTCTCCTTCCAAGTTATCTATTACCCTGAATATTAGACCCCTCACTATACAGGCTATACCCCTAAAATGAGAGATCTATAAAAGGAAAAAAAACCATGTAGGTACCCAATGAACCATAATGACAATTATTTTATTTAAGCCACTTCTGATTACTTTAAAACAGTATTAAAGTATGGTAGGATTCATGGCTTAATCTAAAATGCAAAGGTAGAATTTGGTTTTTGGATAAAGTTTCTCAACCAAAATGGGATAAGAAAGAAGAGAAAAGAGCATTAGTTAGCCACTTGATTGGTTAAGACTTGCAGGTTTAGAACATTTGAAAGAATTAGAGTATGATTTCCACATACTTTTAACTACCATATATCAAAGGAGATAGCTTGGCATAGTGGAAAAATGACGGAACTTGGGATCAGGGTAACTGAGACCCAGCTCTTGTTACTAACAAGATCTGTGGACTTGAGAAAGCTCCTTAACCTCTTAGGACCTGTTTTCTCAACCATTTTGTGAGAGATTTGGACTGTCATCTCTTCAGTTTTAAATACTATGACTGCCATAATGAATTCTTTCCCACTGATGTGAGGAAAGCTACCTGAAGGCACAGTGAATGGATTATAAGAGTACAAAATCTTAGGTTTCATCTGATAGTGTGGTCCAATGCTGAGTACAATGCCTTGAAAATAATAGGAGCACAATAAAAATGTATTTTCCTCCTTCTTCCTCTTCTCCATTCCTGGCCCTACCCCTTCCTCCCATTGTTCTTCCCTTGTCCTATTGTATAAAATAACAAAGATTTAGTAGCCAAGAGTGTAGTAAAACATGGACTCTATCTCCAAAGAAAGCTTCTGTGGCAAACGGAAGAGGGTTAGGTCAGGCTTCTAGGTGATTTTCTCCCTGGCAAAGTGATCCATGTTTTGAAATATTTGAGGGCTTCTATTTGAGGTTACCTAAGTCAAGTCTTTTAGGCCTGAGAATGACTTTACTTCTCTTTCCAGGTTCTCACTTAATTCTAGTGCCTTCTCTCGACTGATTATCTTCACTTAATTCTGTATGTATCTTGTCTGTACATAGTTTTTTCATTTTGTCTCCACCATTAGATTATGAGCTCTTTGAGAGCAGGGACTATTTTTTGCCTTTCTTTTTATCTCCAGCACTAAGCGTAGTACCTGGCACTTAGGAGTCTTTTAATAAATGCTTACTGACTGAAATATTAACAACTGGTTCTTTATATATTATTCTTTCCCAGGACACTCAATCAAACATTGGGAGTCCCTTAATTCGAACAGCACCTCAGATCATTGGAGCAGAGGATGATGACTTTGGCACCGAACATGAACAGGTGATGTTTTCTCTAAAGCAGGAACTATCAGTTTTTAAGATATTGCCCAGTTTGTTAACAAAAACTAACACCTTCCTGGGGCCATGAAACAGCAGTTTCCAGGATTTGATGCTGAATTTTCAATCTGACAGTCTCTTAGGTGAATTGCTATTTTTATCCTTAAACTTCTCCCTAGTAGTAAAGGCTCTGATGTTAAAGCTTATATGACTTTGGGGCACTGAATGCATTCCGTAATTATCCATTAGAATTTTTTTCTTTTGAGTAGTCTTAAAAAAAAAAAAAAGCTAAGCTCAAGCTTGTCCTTATCTTGCCTACCCTCTTGTTACCTATTTCCTCACACCTAAATCTCCCAAAATTTGAGTTGATATAGGATAATTATAGTGATAGTATTATCTTAATTATATGATTCATAGACTGAGTAGCAAAGAAACTTAGTGATAGTTTTAATAAAAACACATAAGTTCACTCTCCATTTTCTAAGCTAATAGTCTCCAAACTTTTTTGATCATATACCCCTTAGCAAGATATTTTTTTGAGGCTAGAGCACTGGCCCTAAAGTCAGGAGGACCTGAATTCTAATATGGTCTCAGACCAAACAGTTGACAATTACTAGCTATGTGACCCTGGGCAAGTCACTTAAACCTAATTGCCTAAAAAACAAAAACAAAAACAAACAAAAAAAAAGATTTTTTTTTTTGAGTATACTCTTCCAAAATATTTTTATTTGCTTATTGGCTATATATTTACTTATTTATAAATTATATTCAGATAATTCTGTATTAGTAATTATATACATCCTGAAACTTACACAGAAATAAAAATTAAAAAGAATAAGTTGAAGAGAAATAATATTTGACCCTAGAATCAGTAGAGAGCTACTGAAGTTTTAGTATATAGGGGAGTGACACTGTCAGATCTGCACTTTGAAAAAACACTTTGGCAACTGCATGGAGGATGGATTGGAGAACAGAGAGATTTGAGGCAGGGAGACTAGTTAGGAAGCTATTGCCTATGGAGGATGAGATACAGCTCATCTTCACACTCTCCAACTGGTTGATCACTCACACTTTATGGTTCAAGGAGTGGCCCCTACTTTGGTAACTTCTGCTCTAACTTATGCTTATTTGGCATCTAAAACTCAACATACCCTGAATAGAATTCATTATCTTTTTTCCAAAATCCACCTTTCTTCCTCATCTCTGTTGAGGGCATCATCATTCTTCTACTTGCCCACGAGTTTAGCTTCATCATAATCCTCAATGTTTTTTGAGGATAAAATGAGATATGTACCTAGTTGGTTGTCTTGTCTTACTGTTTCTATCTCCACAATATCTCTTGAATATATCCTGTTCTTTCTGCACAAATGACCACTTTACCAGTTCAAGTCCCCAACACCTCTCTCATTGCTGTTACCCTGCTGATTGGTCTCTTTCCCTCTTCAACCTATTCCATACACAGCTGCCAAAGTGATTTTCCAAAATACTAGTCAGATCCATGGGACTCTCCTAATGTCTTCCTGTTATCTCAAATACGAACTTTGCCATTAAAAAATTCCTTAACTTGGCTTTAACCTACCTTTCCAGTCTTATTCTATATCATCCCACTTTATGCATTCTAGGGTACAGACAGAATATCCTTCTTGCTATTTCTCATGCAAGACATTCCATCACCTGTCTCAATGCCTTTGCACAGACTATCTTTCATACCAGAAATACCTTGTCTCCTTACCGCCACCTCTTAGAATCCTTAATTTTCTTCAAAACTTAGTACAGATGTCACGTTTTATGAGTGAGGCCTTTCATGAATTCCCTCGCTACTACTGCCTTTCTCTCCCCTTCTTTTACCTTGTATTTATTTAATATATATTTTAAATATAATTACATAGGTATATGTTATCTCCCCACAGTGGAATGTGAGCTTTCAAAGGCAGGGATGGTTTCACTTCTGTCTTTGTATCACTAATGCATCATCATCATCACCATCACTAGCATTTATGCTTTAAAACTTATAAAACACTTTACAAATACTATCTCATTTTATCCTCTAAAAACAAAAACAACACCTCCCCCCAACAAAACAAAACAAAACCCTTGGAAGTAGGTGCTATTATTGTCAGAGCCAGAGGTTAAGTAACTTGCTGGGGTCACACAGCTAGTAAGTATCTGAGACTGACTTTGAACTTAGGTCTTCCTGACTCCATGTCCAGTGCTCTTTTCATTGCATCACTTTAATAAGTGATTATTGACTGATTGTCCAAAAGGTAAAGAAATCCATTGCTGAGTTAAAAGACTGCTTTGTTGTTCAGTCATTTTTCATTTGTGTCCGACTCTTTGTGACCCTGTTTGGGGTTTTCGTGGCAAAGATAGTGGAGTGGTTTGCCATTTCTTTCTTCAGCTCATTTTACAGATGAGGAAACTGAGTCAAACAGGGTTAAGTGACTTGTCCAGGGTCACACAGCTAGGAAGTGTCTGAGGCCAGATTTGAACTCAGGAAGATGAGTTTTCTTGACCCTGTGCCCAGCATTCTATCCGCTTTGTAGGATAGCTATTATTTAGTACAGGAAGAAGGGCCATAATTTCACTTCGAATAAAATGAGTTTTTGTAATTTTTTGATTCCCTACATTATTGAAGCCAAGCCATCTAATCTAGTTCATTCCTTCACCATCAGAGACCCATTCTGTCTACCCTGAAATGTTGACAGATCTCCAGAGAGAAAGACTCTATAGTTTATTTTGCTTATGAATTCTTATAATTACTCTTAACAGTCTTGAATTTTCTCTTCCTCCTTCCCAGTTGAAAAAATACAACACACACACGCACGCACACACACGCACGCACACACACACACCCAATATAATAAATCTCTCAATGTAAAACTATTCCTCTTCACAGATTAATGGACAATGCAGCTGCTTCCAAAGTATTGAATTGCTGAGATCCCGCCCTGCTCACCTAGCTGTGTTCTTACACCATGTGGTTTCACAGTTCGACCCTGCAACATTGGTGAAACATCATTGTTTGACATATAATTATTGTTATTATTTACAAGTAAACCTTAGTCCTCTCAAAGCTTAAAATTCAAGTGTTCACATTTTATACAAGAGTTAAAACGTGGGGTGGGGTGGGGTCGGGTGGGAAATGGAGAAATGGGGAAGAATTCTTGCCCATGAAGTTCAGACTTTTCCTATTCATCTGACATAGCAGGACAAATCTAAAGATAAATAAAATCACAATGAAGCTCCTTTCAGAGTAGTGGCAACTTGGTAATAATATTTCTTAAAATAACTTATGAAGTCTTATGATTATTCTTTGAGAAAATGAACAGATTGAATATATGATGACCTCTCACTTTCTCTCTCTTTGTTGTTTTTTTCCTCTACTACAGCTCTGTTATCTTTATTCAGACTTGTATAAACAGACCAATTCCAAGGAAACTCGGCGCATCTTCCTTGAGTTTCACCAGTTTTTCCTGGACCGAGCCGCAGTGAGTTGCCAATTTCATATTTTCATCTTTAATTTAATGTCCACCAACTATTAAGCACTTACCATATGCTTAATTGTGTTACCTGCTGTGTGAGATAAAAAGACAAGTAAACAAAGTCCTTGTCTTCAAAAAATTTGCAGTCTAGTAGGAGTTGACATATATATATATAGATAAATATGAGATAAATTAAGATGTGATGCATGCCTAAAAGGAGTACAAAAATGAAGCAGCATCAATTAGGGGATTCCTCATTTCCTTTTGGGGAATATATTTCTAAGTTAATGTGTAATCAGATGTTTGTTGAATTAAAACATATAAATGTACACAAGTGTGTGTTTTGGAGTGTGTATTCATATGTTTATTTGTGTATATGTACACATAGTCTTTGTAATACTTGCCTAATTACATTCTAAGTGAAGTGTTTGGCACATAATAAATATTTTTAAAATTAAAATACGGAAAAATGTCATTCATAATGAGTTAGTGGATTTTTCCCACAACAAAATATTAACATTTTAACCTATTTTAGGGCTAAATATTAGGGAATAGCAATTAGCAAATTTGGTAAGACCCTGTATATATTGCTATTATCAAAACTACTCATTTTTCTTAAGTAAAAAATCTTATTTTCATTAAAATTGTTAATTGTGTTCAAATTTCCCAAGTATATTTGTATTTCGTGCATTTTCATTTTATACTAGCCACTCAGGATAAGTCATCAATGCTGGCTTTAAAAAAAATTTTAAATAAGTTTTTATTGATGTCTTCTGTTTTTTATGTCATCATACTTATCCCTAGTAAACCTTCCCCTTCTGTTTCCCAGAAAGCCATCTCACATAACATAATATTACTATTGGATCTTAAGCTAACATTATTGTCCTTCATGTTATGAATTTGGTATAACCCAGTGGTTTTACCTGCTTTAGATAATGCTTACTTATAAATAAATGGGAATTTAAAATAAACACACATCTAAACACTTTAAGAAATGGTGATTTGTTCATTATCTAATTCAATCAAATAAAAGCGTTGAAACTCAGTTTTTAAGAACTTCCATATTACATTTCTTGCTGAAATATTAGAAGTCTCTTACTATGTTCTGCACCCTTTTGTTAAATTACTAGAACCATAGCCTGCAACTCTTGTGACTTATTACTCAATCTTAGAGCTAAAGACCTTTTTGGAAGGTTTTTAACTGAAGTGGTTATTATATATAAATCAGATATTTTATAATTCCTTGAACATCCTTAGAGGGAGAATACCAAATAAAGCGTAGCTAAAAGCACCTACCCATTCATTATTTTAATTCAATAAGCATAATTGCAGAAAGTTAAGCAGAGGTGGTATGACTCTAAAAATACAACATTTATATCCAGTACTTCCTCAAGTGAAAAGCACTGTAAACTTACATAGCAAAATGACTTTTGAGTGTATTCTATACAGAGAGTTCACTGTGTTTATCTAGAAAAAGCATCTCTGATTTTGTACCTCCAAATTATGAGTCTCAGATGAGGTTTTAAAAAACATGTGATGGTGTATATTTCTGTACTTCAAACTCAACATGATTTCATTCCTATGAGTACTTTTGCTGATCAAAGCATATTGCTGTCCTTTATAGAAGGTCGTCTTGATTAGCTGTTATGAAAAATGTTCCTCACCTAGTAGGCAACCTTCTGGAGATTATCTGTCTAAACTTAATCTGGCTATTAGATGGTTCGCCATCTAGACCCACACCAAAAGCCTTTCCTGCTGCATAGGAACTGCCAGGACTTGAATCCTGATGGCATAGTCTTTGAAAACTCATCTCTACATGGTGATGAGATAACTGAGAGGACCTTGATAATATATAAATTGTATTAATTTTCCCATATTGCTCCAAATAAGCAATCAATTAATTGTACTACCTGTAAACTTATGTGAAATTTACTTCATTTTTTCACTTTGGAATAATCAATTAAGTTACTTAGTAAACATTTTTTAAATGCTTATTCTGTGCCTAGGCACTGGGCTAATTGCTGGGGGTATAAATATGAAAAAGAAAGATAGTCAGTGTTGTCAAGGATCTTACAATCTAATGAGGGAAGGCAATACACAAAAGGAAACTGAAAAGCAAGAGGGTGGGAATTGGGGTAGGGTGGGATGATAAAGTCCAAAAAGGTACAAGTAAGTGGGAAATGAAGAGGTGACTGGCCTGGGAGCCCTGTTTAAATAGTGACTTTGAGAAAACTCTTTGCTCTGCTCTGTAGTCCTCAGATCAGTGGGGTAGAGGATACTGAAAGTACTAATAAGGTGTGAGTTGATGCAGTCTCAGAGAATGATGAATTTTCTGATTTTTAGAACTGGAAAGGATGCAAAATTTTTATATTGTAGTTAAATTATTTGGCTTCTTTCTCTTGAAGCATTAGCTCTGTGAACTTAGATAGCAAAATGGCTAGGAGGACACACTAACCAGACATGTAATGTTTGTTGTAAGTACCCAGAAAAACATCTTTGATTCAAAACCCCCAAAATGAATTTTTTTCCTAAAGGAAACTCTTTGATGGGTCAAATATAAAAATGTTCTAGATATAACAGATTTGGATAAGTAAGGACATAGTCAACGAGATTGTAAATACTAAAGTGGATTTATAATCTCGTCAGTGTGGTTACTTCTTCTGGTGGTACAGACAGACATTCCACTGGTGGAAGACATCCCACACCTCATCCCGTGCAGCTTTTTGTCCATGGCAGCCAACATATGCTCCATACACAGCCCACCCAGGGTACTAAACTCCTTTTTCTTGGTATTTCAACATTATGTGGATAACAATGTTAGAACTTAAGCTATTCTGTTATTCTTAAGCTTTGAGAAGAAAGTAATATAATGTTTTCAATAAGCATAGATCAATGTGTATGTTTATAATTAAGTAAATATTGATCAAGTATAATGTGTACCATACTAAGCACTAAGGAGTACATAGAATCTAGACTATATCACTGAGATGTGTATATGTGTGTTTATACACACATAAATATTTGTTGAAAGATACACAGTGCTGTTTCTTAGCTTTTTTTTCTCTTCCCCCCCCCTTTTTTTAAAGCACTTGAAGGTTTCTGTTCCAGATGAAATATCTCTAGACCTGGGTAAGTAAGTCTATCTATGGTACTACAAGTCTCAAAGAGTAAGACATATACAGCAGCTAGGTGATGCAGCAGATAGAGCACTGGATCTGGAGTTAGCAAGACCTAATTTAAAATCTGGCCTCAGACACTTAATAGCTTTGTGAACCTGGGTAAGTTATTTAACCTTTGCCTGCCTCAGTTTTCTCATCTGTAAAATAAAGATAATAATAGCATCTATTTTCCAGGGTTGTTGTGAGGATCAAATTAGATAATATTTGTAAAGTGCTTTGCAAATCTTAAATTATATATAAAACTATTGTTGTGGTTGTTTTTGAGAGATTTCCAAGTAATCTCTTTACAAGGTCATGTCAAGTGAATTTATTTAACTTGAAGGAAAGATACAGTAGCTAATCACCACATTTGTTTCAGAGGTTCAAACCTAGAGCTGAAAAGCTATGAGGTAAAGATAAAGTCTTTAATAAATAATTTTAGGTTGTACTTAATATAAGAGGTAATATTGATCTTTTTGTCAGCTGATGTATATTGACTCACAGGTAATGCTGTTAATTCCTTTCTTATTTTCCTTTAGAAAAAAGAAGGCCAGAACTTATACCTGAAGATTTGCATCGACATTATGTCCAAACTATGCAAGATAAAGTCTATCCTGAAGTTCAGAAGCATTTGGAAGACTTTAGGTATGTATATTGGCAGATTATAATTAATTTTATCATTAGAGATTATTTTAGGTAGAGGGAGATTTTAAAATCCCTGCACCCTGGCTTTAGGGGCATGGTTCAAACCAATCTTGAACATCTAGGTCTTCTGTCTGTGAGTGGAGTAGAACTGACGTACATGGTCCATTCTGCCAGTTGATTGCAGTTGTAGATCTCTGTGTTTTGTGTGTGAGAAGTGTATCCCTTTGGGGGCATAAAATCTGTGTTCTGATATATGATTGTCTTCAGAGTTTCTTCCCCCAGCACCCTAGGTGACATTAGATTATGACATTAGATATGTCTTTTTCCCCAGAGCCAGAAACTGTTAACTAGAGGGACACACAGTCCAATCATCACCAAAGGGAGATACTTCTTTTCTAGTGTCTTTCTATAGCATTCATCTTATTCTCTTCAGGCAGAAACGTAGTATGGGGCTAACCTTAGCTGAAAGTGAACTGACCAAACTTGATGCAGAGCGAGACCGTGACCGGCTAACCCTGGAGAAAGAACGGGCATGTGCAGAGCAGATCATTGCCAAAATTGAAGAAGTGTTGTGAGTAATAGAGTATTATAAAATGGAGATTTCTTTTATCACCATATAAGAAAGACTGATTGAAAGAATCAGCATAAGAAAAAAAATATATAAATATATAATAAATATATATATATATATACACACACACATATATGAAATGTTAGTGATTTCCTACGCTGATATTCTGAGAATTTTTGTTAAATGAGTAAAAGTTTTTTTTCCCCAAATCAAATATTTATTATCTATTGTGATTTAAATTTCATAGGATATCTAGAATAAAGCATGTATAATTGATGAAATAAAGGTGAAAAGATTTTAGCTCCACTGTGGATTAGACTGTCTCTGGCACCAAATTCTTTGTACTAAGAATTTAGTAACATGGCTTTGGCATCTACTGTCTTGAGTTTTGAGTATCAAAGTTAAGTGATGAAAAGATAACTTATTAAATTTTAATTTATTATTTCCAAACTTTCTTGTTTGTAGGATGACAGCTCAAGCTGTTGAAGAAGACAAGAGGTAATATATTCATTTTCTTGCATTTTCAGTGGAGCAGTAAGAAAAACACTCCCCAATCCTAATTTATGATTCATTCTTTGTGATTTATAAGTAATATAACAGTCTCCCTCTAGTGGTATACATTTACAAAGAGACTTCCTAGTCTCTTCATGAATGGAATTTGTCTTTGTAACTATAGATTGTAGTTTATGCTTCACTTGTTGCCTTAGGCATATTGCCCATAGGCCTAGAACAGTCACTGATTCCTTTATCCTGTTCACCTTTCCTTATCAAAAGTAACATTTAAGTTAATCTTTTCTCTTCTAGTTCAACAATGCAATATGTGATCCTCATGTACATGAAGCATTTGGGAGTCAGAGTAAAAGAACCTCGGAATTTGGAGCATAAGCGAGGTCGCATTGGATTTCTGCCAAAAATCAAGGTACAAGTGGTGTAAAGGGGGTTTCTGCACTTCTATGTGGATCCCTACCTTTTATTTGTATTGGTTTAATTTTCCTCATTGTATATTTATATTATCAGCATCCTCCCTTTCCCCCCTCCAAGATTTTTTCATTGGCTGTGTACATTATTCTGTGAGAATACTCTTCAGCAGATTTTGTCTTTTGTATCCTTATCTTAATTTCTCAAGTTTACATTCCTCCATTCAGCTCATCCTTCACCTGCCCTACTTTTTTCATTTCCCCTAAAATTTGATGTGTTATCAAGCTCTGTCTTCTGAAATAGTCCTTTAAGGTATTTCTGTTCTATGTGGTATTTTACCTTTGATGCTGACATATTGTTCTATTCGGCTCTTAATACGTTGATTAATTTTCTATTTCTATATCTAGCCTCTATATTCAGAGCCTGTTTTTAATGGTATTCTGCACTATTGTTTGTGTATTATCATTGTACTCTTGAAAACTGTAAAAGTGGTTTGATTTAAATTGTTGGCCCTATGGACAAAAATAGACAGATCGCAGTATGAGTGAATATCATGGATTCAAATTGGCGTCATCTCTTAGACAGTAAAGACTTTGTGTGCTCACCAACGCCAGGTGAATTGTTTTGTTTTGTTTTTCACCAGTGGAACATGTTCTTATCTACACAGTAATGTTGTCTTTCGTATAAAAGAGGTAGCACAGGAGAAGTAGGAAGGGGCATTGGATTTGGAGTTAGGAAACCTAGATTCCAATCCTGTCTCTCTGTGACCTGGGGGAAGGCATTTAACCTCTATGGACTACTCTTCCAGTCTTTTCATCTGTAAAGGAAAGTTTAATGAAATAATCTCAAAGTTGCTTTCTGACTCTACATTTCTGTGATTCTAAGAAATTACTAACCTTCCATCTGTGGGACATGTACTTAGAGTTGTCTGTCTAATAGTGTTGTTAGAATGATTAAGTTCATATTGATTCATATGTGTTTTCTTGCCTAGTACTCTAGTAGATCAGTAGCATGTATTTGGAAGATAACTTTGAATGGGATAAATGACCTCCCATTTACATGGTCTTATATGTACTTAGCTGTTTTCATATTGTCTCCTCAGTTAGAAGGTGAGCTCCATGAGGGTGAGGACCATGTTTTTACTTTTCTTTGTATTCCTAGCATTTAGCCAATGTATGGCACACAGTAAGCTCTTGATAGTAAGTCTTTTTGACTGCCTGTTACTGGAAAAGGCATTTATTAAATACTGGCTACGTGGTAGGCACTGCTAAAGCATTGAAATTTCAAATTCAAAAGACAGATAATCCCTACCATCAAAGAGCCTTATATTCTAACAACATGTGAAATGAAACAAATCTGTTACATCAAAAGATCAGCCCTATGATGTGGCCTCATTAGTACCATTGTAATCAACTCATTTAATCATAAGTAGATCTTTCTATGTTACTCCCTTGGTGTATTTAAATACTTTACTCTTAAGTTTAAGTAAATAATACATTAATGTATGCAAGCCTTTATAGTCATTTTAATTTTTACCTAGCTTTTGAGAATATATTTTTATTTTCAAGGAACAAGAGAAAACTGATAATAAAAAATGTCATATGTCTTTTAATTCTTTGATTGTTTGTTGACTATAGCAAAGTATAAAGAAAGATAGGGAAGGTGAAGAAAAAGTGAAGAGAAGAGGATTCCCAAACATTTTAGGACCCCCAAGGAGGCCAAGCCGTCATGACAACAGTGCAAGTATGTTGGTTTTGAAAATGCTCCGTTCTCCATGGTTTGCTGCTTGGCAGATGTTTATTTTGTTAGGATGAATTATTAGAGAGGAGTTAAAAGTGAGACCAATCCAAATAACATATATAGGTAAATATGTAACCACTTGAGACATTTTTTGCATATAGATTTCTGTCACTTCTTGGGGGTTTCTTTAATATGTGATATTTTCACTCATTTTCACTTTTATTGAGGAAATACTTCCTTGAACTAGCAAAAATCAGAATTTCACTTAGTGACCTCCCTGATTTCTAATTAGTTTCTATCTGTTCAGTTGGCAGAGCCATGGAACTACAAAAACAGCGCCATCCCAAGCACTTACCCACAGCCTCATCAGTGAGTCCTGAACCTCAGGACTCTGCCAAATTGCGTCAGAGTGGGATCTCCAGTGATGTAGCAGATGTTATGTGTATGCCTGCTAATCCCATGTCTTCTTTGACTTCCCAAGGGACTAGTGCCTCCCAAGAGGGAGGAAAAGAGAATGAAATGGGTAAGCTGATGCTATGTAGGGCAACATGTTTGAGAATCTTAGTTGGTAAGAAACCTTTTCTGTCAGGTTATATATAATTACTTTGAGTCTTTTGTTATTTATAAGAAAATGGTACCTTATGAATTGTTCAAACCTGGACTATTCATAAACCTTA